TTTATTTCTTTACTTACCCTCTGTGTGTGGGGGTGGTCCTTCTCAGTGTGTGTGGGAGCTCAGGGGACAGCTTGCAGGAATCTCTCACCATGCAGGATGCCAGGCTTGGTAGCAAGTGCCTTTAGCTGCTGGACTGTCTTTATTTACTTAATAACTTTTAAATTTTAGTATTTAATTACATTATGTGTGTGTGAGTACAGTGTCCATGGAGACCAGAGAGTGTGACAGGTCCCCTGGAACTGGAGCTGCTAGTATTAAGAGACATCTGACTGCATGCTGGGGACCTAAGGCACATCTGGAAGAGCAGCTAGTGTGCTTAGCCACTGAGCCACCTACCTCTCCAGTCCAGTCCTCCAAATTTAATTTAATTTTCTTCCTTTCTCTTTCTGTTTTTTTTTTCTTTTCTTTCTTTATTTCATTTTTTTTTTTTTTTTAAGACAGGGTCTTGAACTCACAGAGATCCAACTGTATCTGTCTCCTGGTTGCTGGGATTAAAGGGGTATGCCATGCTTGGCAGTTTTAAAAACTTTAAAATTTGATATTTGTGACAGGGTCTGGTTGTGAGCCCAAGTTGTCCTCAAACTCAGATCCCCTGCCTCAGCCCTTGAGAATGGGGGTGACAGGCATGCATCATCCTGAGCTATATTCCACTCCTCTTACAGTCCTTTTCTGTTGCTGTAACAAAATTCTGGGGACCAGTACAATTGACTTAAAGAGAAAAGGAAGTTGTGGGCTGGCAAGAGGGCTCAATGGGTAAGGTGCTTGCTGCCAAGCCTGACTCTTTGATGGCAGGAACCAACTTCTTCAGGTTGTTCTCTGACCTTCACACCTGTACCATTGCACATACGCTCACATATAAGATAAACAAATGAGCTGGGCAGTGGTGGCATACACCTTTAATCCCAGCACTTGGGAGACAGAGACAGGTGGATCTCTGAAAGTTCCAGGCCAGCCTGGTCTACAGAGTTAGTTCCAGGACAGCCAATACTGTTACATAGAGAAACACTGCCTTGAAAAACAAACAAACAACAAATATAAGAAAATAAAAATGAAAATGTAATAAAAGTAATTTAAAACATTTGCCCATTTGCACTCACAGCAGCTTGCCTCTCATTCACTCCACTAAGACATCTGTCCCCAAGGTCTGCCTGATTGCCTGTCTCCTCAGGCCTCTGTGTGACTCTGCTGTGACTTGTGCATTTCCCATTGTGTCTAGGTGGCAGGTGATTATTATGGGTTAGACCACAACAGTGACATCAGAATCTAAGGGGGTGGGGCTATGGATGGATGGACAGCTTGTTTCCTCCTAGAAAGTGGTAGGTGTGCTGTTGAGGGACACAGGGCCTTGGATCTGTATTCTTGAGTTCCCTTGGGGAAGGTGGAGAGGCTCCTGGGTATCACCCTGTGCCAGGGCCTTACCTTGAGAGATCAGTGGCCCAGCTGTTCCTGCCATCTGCGTCCATCCTATTGTCTGAGGCTATAGCCTCACATTATTCTCCCTTGGCTTTAAACCCTGGACCTTGGGGCTCTGGGAGTCTTCACTGTCCACCTGCCAAGCTCTGCCTGTGCCCTGGGTCTCCAAGCACATCTGAAGTCCATCTTCAGTGATGACAAATTGGAATGGTGTGGCCAAGGGTCCTACTCCATGGGGCGAGGTGCAGAGTGCACCTTCTCTTGTCTTCCTGGCACTGTGAGCCCACCCTGCCTTGTCTCTCTCCTGGACAGTGCCCCCACCATGCCCTGGGCTGGTCTCTCTGTCCCCTCACAATGCCCTGGGCCAACTTGTGTCTCCCTGCCATGCCAACCCCCTACCACTCCTGCTGACTTGGGGGCAAGTGCTGGGTACCTGGGTTCTTTGTCACATCACACCGAAGGGCAGTAACCAGAAGAGGCCATCAGATCCCCAGGGACTGAAGTTTCAGATGGTTATGAGCCACCGTAGGGGTGCTGGGAGTCAGACAGTGATCCTCTGCCAGAATGGTTAGTTCTCTTAGCCACTGAGCCATCTTTCCACCTGACTATTGGGCTTACTTAAGGAACATGGGGGAGGGTAAGGGGTTATGGGCAGTAGTGTGGGTGACCTTAAAGCCCCCATACTAGATAGTCTGCACCCCTAATGGATGATGAGCCCCCTGACCTTATCTTTCCCAAGGCCACCTGCAGTTAGGGCAGAGTCACATCAGATGGCTACAAGGAACAGCTGGGTACTCAGGTGCTGCTTCCATGACCCTCCTCACTCCTCTGTGAGTGGAGTCTACAAGCTCAGGTGATCCAGTGAAGATGGTGGGTGTTTTGCTTGGAGTATAGTGCTGTACAAGAGCTGTGATGCTGAGCAGTGGCCATCACTCGAGCTTGTCAGTTCTTCGCCTACCCCATGATCCTTGCAGAGTCACCGGAGTCTGCCCAATGCCAGCTCCAGCAGGCTCCTCCATCCCCGGTGTGATTGTTTCATTGCTGTGATGCCAAGCTGCTGCTTCTGTTGGCCATGCATGTCCCCGAGGAAGTGTCTGCTCAGACCTTGCCTGACTTTTTATGGCTTGTCTTTGGTTATGTGTCAAGGGCCCTTTACACGTTCTTGAAGCTGGTCCCTTTTTGTTGTTGAGTAGTGTCCTAGTCAGGGTAACTATTGCTGTGATGAAATACCATGACCAAAGCAACTTGGGGAGGAAAGGGTTTATTTGGTTTACACTTCCAGGTAACAGTCCATTACTGAGGGAAGCCAAGGTAGGAACTCACACAGGGCAGGAACCTGGAGGCAGGAGCTGATGCAGAGGCCATGGAGGGTGCTGCTTACTGGCTTGCTCAGCCTGCTTTTCTATAGAACCCAGGGTCACCAGCCCAGGGGTGGCACCATCTACCATGGACTGGACCCTCCTCCATTGATCACTAAGTGAGAAAATGCCTTACAGCCTGGTCTCACGGAGACATTTCTTCAAATGATGCCTCTAAGTTTATGTCAAGTTTACATGAAACTAGCCAGTACAAATGGTGAGCTCTTTGTATATTCTGGATACTGGCCCCTTGTCTTCTTGTTGAGTGATGAAGACTATATGTTCTGGGTGCTGATCTTAGACCTGTGGCTCTCAGATATTTCCCAGACTGTCTCTCCCTTTCATCATGGCAGCCTTTGAGTTTAGAGCCCAGTGTGTGTTTTCTCTTACACCTTGTCTAAAAGTCATCTGCTTCAAGGCCATAAATATCTGTATTCTAAGAATTTGATGTTTATCTGGGCAATGGTGGCACATGCCTTTAATCCCAATACTTGGGAGGCAGAGGCAGGCAGAGCTCTGTGAGTTTTAGGCCAACCTGGTCTACAGAGTGAGTTCCAGGACAGTCAGGGCTACACAGAGAAACCCTGTCTCCAATAACCAAAAAAAGAAAAAAAGAAAAGAAATCTGATGTTTGATTTTAAAATTTGGCCTGGACCATTTAGACTTAGCTTTGTGTGTGGTGTGAGGTCAAGGTCTAAATCCACACTTTTCCACATAGACTGCAGAACCTTTTCTTGAACAAAACCCACTCCCTCCCTGCTACTGGGTCTAGCCCTAGCACAGATCTTCTACATGCTTCTATTCAGGAACCTCAACTCTGATAGCTCTCAAATGCCCTTGGCCAGGGCTATCGGTGCTGGGACTGGATCTCAGGGCCCCCTAAGTTGCTCCTAGCCTTATTGTTCAATTCTTGTAGCTTTGCTACCCCGAGCCATCTGGTCCTGTCTGGATGCTCAGGCTGAATCACCTTGTTCAGGGAGCCCCAAACTAGCTGGGGAGGGTAGATCCTTTCCTGGAGTCTCAGCCTGGCACTCATCATAGTCTGCTGTGCTGGTGGCCTCTGCCCCAGCATCACAGCTGAGTGCTGCTCCTTACCTGGGTGCTGGAATTCAAGTTCAATTTCCTGGTTACACAGCAAGCACTCCCCCCACTGAGCTATCTTTCCAGATCCTCTGTTGGTGGCTCTATTCATACAGACAGAAGGTTTTGAATTGGTGCTGGGAAACTTGGTACCTAGCAGGCCCAGAAGCAAGAATGTGGGGTGAGGGTGTGGGGAAAATGGTGACTTTGTACTGGGCAGGGGTGAGGACAGGACCCCAAGGGGCGGTGGGGCAGTCTCCAGACAGCAGAGGAGGTGTCCTTGCTGGTGCTGGACCTGAAAAGACTGGCCCAGGGTCTCCTGAAGATGCGTGGTGACAGTGGGGGTGGGGCATGGTGTGGCTGTGGGTTGTGGGAGGGAAGTTGTCAGCTTCACACTATTTAGGGTGAGCTTCCCTTAGGGCTGTGGTCAGCTGGGACTGGGCACATAGGCAGCAGTGAAGGCAGCTGGAGCTCAGGACATTGCAATAGTAGGCAGAGGTTGCAGGTTGGTGACCTCAGCTACAGGGTTCCATCACAAAGTCCCAGGAGTCACAGGTGGGGGCCACAGAGGTCACAGGTTGGTAACTTCAACCACAGGCTCCCATTACAAGGACTCAGTGCCTCACTGTGGTGGCACTTCCCATTACTAAGCTTGATCATTTAAGTCCCTGTACACTGGAAGGTGGCTCACTGTCAGGGCCCCATTACCTCCTTCTACAGGCCAGGGCTTTGGAAGGAGCCAGGCACTTTCTGCTTTTGAAGACCGAGTGTTAAATAATCCAGGCTGACCTCAGACTTGGTGTAGCTGAGGCTGGCTTCAGATCCCTGCTGCCCTTCCTCTACCTCCCAAGTGCTGGGGTGACAGGTATATGCCATCATACTTGACTAAACTTGAAAATCAGTAGTTGGTTGTGGCTTCTGGCTTCTAGAAGCTTCTCTGCTGTCACTTGGCTACTCTGGGTTCTTACTGCACTAACTCACAGTTGGGCCGGCACAGATCTGGGGATAGCCTGCATGTTATTGAGAAGTTGACAAGACCTGGATACCTGTGTCAGGTCAGTGTCCCTGACAGAGGTAGTACTGGAAGGATGGGACAGGCAGGGACTACAGCTGTGCAGTTCAGTATCAACTTTCATCTGTACCTTGCAGGACGCTGCTGTTACTGGAGGTGCCTGACAGAAAGTAACCCTGATTGTTTCCTTGAGCCCGGGTCATTTGTCCATCTCAGCCCCCTGGAACCTCCTGGAACCCCCAGGTAAGCACAGCAGTCAGGCCCCAGATGGGTGGTCTGAGTGTGGGTCTGTGGGTCCTGAGATTGGGCCATGCTGAGACCTACTTGCCTGTGGGTGGAGTCTGTACACCTGTCCAGCAGTGACTCAGGCTTCTCTTAGCACTGCTGACTGGGGTCCTCTTGCACTGAGGTGGGACCTGGAGCTCTTATGCATGTTGGTCTCTGGGACACCTTCTGTGGACCCATGGGGCTGTGGGGCCTGTTCTCTTCATTCACCCACAGCAAGAAGTTAGGATCAGGGATTGGGCTAGGGTCTCCAGCAGTGGGAGGCAACTTTTAAACACCTTAAAAACAGTGGATGTAAGCTAGGGGTGGTGGTGCACACCTTTAATCCCAGCACTTGGGAGACAGAAGCAGGTGTATCTCTTAGTTTGAGGCCAGCCTGGGCTATACATAGTGAGTTCTGGTACAGCCAGAGCTAATAGTAAGCCCCAATCTTGAAAAGGAAAAACAAAACAAAACAAAAAAAAAAAAAAAAAAAAAAAAAAAACAGCAACAAAACTTGTATGGATATGGGCTTCAGTTCCCAGCTCCCATGTCAGGGGCCTACAACTGTGTGTAGCTCCAGTTCTAAGAGATCCAGCCTTTTAAAAATGAAAGAAATTTTTTCATGGGGTAGTATGTTTGCACACACATGTGTGCGCATGTGTTTCTGGGGCTGTGGTGAACCTAGGGCCTTGTGCATGCTAGTCCATGCTTAGCACCAGGTCTCACTCCAGCCTACTTGTGAAGTGTGAATCCTGTTAACTGCACTGTTTGGTGCTTGTATGTTTCTGTGGTGGCCTTCAGAGTCCTTGCCTAGCATGGAATGTTGTTCTTCTCAGATTCCCTGGAAGTGCAGTGAGGTACTTCAGTCTTGTCACCCTCTTGTACCTCAGGTCCCTCTGACCTCAAGGAAGCCAGATGGGTCTGTATGTGTCTGGGACTAGGGACATAATTCAGGCCCCGTGTGCAGAATTTAGGAACAACTACAACTACACCACACTGCAACTTGGATAGGCCTAATACAGGGGCATTGGCAGTGGCCCAGAGCTCCCCAGGAAGGGGACAGGGCTGAGAAAGGCCAGGATTGGGCCATTAATTTGTGGTAAACATTGGGGGTTTCAGGTTGGGCTTTGTGTTGGTGGTGGAGATGCTACCGCCAATTGTGTTAATTGCCACTTCTTAGTTCAGGGATGAGTTCCAGCAAGGTGATTTTTGCAGGGCCACTGAGCTGGGCAGGCCACTGCAGACCAGAACTGGCTAGGCCTTTCCTCTTCCTGTTCAGTGACACCACAGCTCAGAATGGCCAGGCTGTAGCAGGGGCGGGGTCCTAGGGTCACTGTCTTGTAAATAAAACTTTATTAGTTTACAGTTGGAACAGTGGAGCCTTGTACCAGAATGGCCAGAGCCATTGTCCATGCAGGCAGTGTGGAACACTAGTGGGCAAGAGGTGATGGACAGGTAGTGACCTGGCTTGGAAGTCATTCTGTCATAACCTCCTGAAACACTCAGCTATGTTCACGCTTAGCTGTGTTCAAGCTCAGCTGTGCCCCAGGCAGCCTTTGCCCTCAATCAAAGTGTGCTGAGTCAGGATGAGCACACAGGGAGTGAAGAAGTGCATGCTGAGCCTGGCTTCCCTCAGTTCCCCAGAAGGAAACTAAGGATTCCATAGCAAGGCCTTGCCCAGTGATGGTACTTGAGACAGACAAGGCTTGGCAGGTCCTGTGGCTCCTCTGTGAGGAGCATCCACTCGGGCCTGCTGTCAGGAGTGGACAGCTCAGTCATTTGTAGTATATTCAGAGTAGTGCCACCATCACCACTGTTGAGTTTGGGACATCCCATCACCCCAAAAGAAAGCTTTCTCTCTCCAGCCACTAGCAACTCACAAATCCACTTCCCATTCATGGATTGGCTTGTTTGGGAATTTTCCTGTTTAGATTCCCACATTGAGTGGTGTCTTAGTCTGGGTTTCTATTGTTGTGATGAAAGACCATGATCATAGTGAGTTGGGGAGAAAAGGGTTTCTTTGCCTTACACTTCCAGGTAGTAGTCCGTCACTGAAAGAAGTCAGGACAGGAACTCAAACAGGGCAGGAACCTGGAGGCAGGAGCTGAAGCATAGGCCACGGAGGGTGCTGCTTACTGGCTTGCTCTCCATGGCTTGCTTAGCCTGCTTTCTTATAGAACCCAGCACAGAAGCCCAGGGCTGGCACCACCCACCGTGGGTGGACCCTCTCCCATCAGTCACTAATCAAGAAAATGCTCTACAGGCTTGCCTGGCTGCAGCTAGATTTTATGGAGACATTTTCCTAATTAAGGCTCCCTCCTCTCAAGTGACTCTGGCTTGTGTTAAGTTGATGTAAAGTTAGCCAGCATGAGTTGCCGGCATTTTGTTTCTAGGTCTCTCACTGAAGCTGATCTTCAGGCCCTTTCACGCTGTATGTGTCTTAAGTCTGACTTTTGTTCAGGGCTGCCTGGTGTTCCAGTTTACGACTGGGCTACTCTTTACCCATCGTGTATCTTGTCTGTGTTGACTGCTGCATGGGACATGAAGTCACTCCTTGGACCTATGTTGGACTCAGGTTTGTGGTGACAGTGACTTTGGGCTGTGGTAGTTTGGATTAGCCCTCAATAGGCTCATATATTTGAATAGGTGGGATTAGGAGTTGTGGTATTGTTGCAGGTTTGTCACTGGGTGGGCTTTGAGGTTTCAAAAGCTCTTATCAGACTCAGTGTCTCTCTGCTGGCTGACTGTGGATCAGGATGTAAAGCTCTCAGCTACTACTTCGGCACCATGCCTGTCTGCATGCTGCCATGCTCCCCACCATGATGATCATGGACTAAGCCTCCGCAACTGTAAGCCCTTAGTTAAATGCTTTTCTTTATCAGAGTTACCATGGTCATGGCTTTTCACAGTGATAGAACAGTGACTGTCACAGGCCTTTGGAGCTACCTGACATTCCCAGAGTCCCAGAGGCTGTTTCACCTTCTATCTGTATCTGCAGTGAGAGTGGTCCTAGGCTCTGAAGAAACACCTGGAGCTGAATCTGTAGTTGCTCCCCTCCTTCTCAGAGGCTGTGCTTTTGGCTGTGAGCTGCTGGCAGCCCTGGACCACGGCTCAGTCAACGCTCATGTCACACTCACACTTTAATCCTGTCCTGCCTTGTGCCTCAGCCTCCCTAGAGTCCCCCAGACACCCACTCTGTGCCTGCTCACAGTTGGTTCCAGTTGAGCTCTGCAGAGTGGCCCAGTGTGATGTGGGTCATGACCCTTATTCCTGTACTATTCTGGTGTCTTTTATTTCCTCCTTTAACAGACAAGAGTGTGGAAGTGACCCAGGCCTTTATGGTCAGGGGCTTGCCCAACAGTTCCCTTCACTCTGGTAGCTTCTAGCCAGTCACACAGTAGGGGACACTTGAATGCTGCACTTCATCTGTATTTGGGGTGCTGAGGCAGGAGGATGGCAGGACGGGTCCTTGCAGCAGAGAGCAACCTTGCTGTCTTTTGGCTGTTATTCCTGTGAGGTAGCCAGGGGATCTGTTCATATGGCTTGATGGGAGTAAAGGTGTTGGCCTGGTTGTTCCACATACCCTCTGTAAGCATGACAGGTCCCTGCAGTTACCTGACAGCACTACATGTTCTTGGGACTACACCACATCATCAGCTGGCCTTGGGAAGTACTTAGTTGACGACTGGCCTGTCTCCTGGTACTATGCCAAGTCCACTGCCCACTTGTTCCTGTGATCTGTGTGCCCAGCCTCTTCATCCCAGGAGTTAAATAACAAAATTCTGAGACCACTAGCCACATAACTCCCAGCCCTTGGCCTTGGCCCTTGGGCCCTGTGCTGTCAGCCCCTCCGTCCTGCAGCATCACCAAAAATCCTGCAGCCCCCCATCCATCCTGCAGCCCCCCATCCATCCTGCAGCCTCCATCTATCCTTCAGCCCCCCATCCATCCTGCAGCCTCCATCCATCCTGCAGCCTCCATCCATCCTGCAGCCCCCCATCCATCCTGCAGCCTCCATCCATCCTTCAGCCCCCCATCCATCCTGCAGCCTCCATCCATCCTGCAGCCTCCATCCATCCTGCAGCCCCCCATCCATCCTGCAGCCTCCATCCATCCTTCAGCCCCCCATCCATCCTGCAGCCTCCATCCATCCTGCAGCCTCCATCCATCCTGCAGCCCCCCATCCATCCTGCAGCCCCCCATCCATTCTTCAGCCCCCCCATCCATCCTTCAGCCCCCATCCATCCTTCAGCCCCCCATCCATCCTGCAGCCCCCCATCCATCCTTCAGCCCCCCATCCATCCTGCAGCCCCCCATCCATCCTTCAGCCTCCCATCCATCCTGCAGCCCCCCATCCATCCTGCAGCCCCCCATCCATCCTGCAGCCCCCCATCCATCCTGCAGCCTCCATCTATCCTTCAGCCCCCCATCCATCCTGCAGCCTCCATCCATCCTGCAGCCTCCATCCATCCTGCAGCCCCCCATCCATCCTGCAGCCTCCATCCATCCTTCAGCCCCCCATCCATCCTGCAGCCTCCATCCATCCTGCAGCCTCCATCCATCCTGCAGCCCCCCATCCATCCTGCAGCCCCCCATCCATTCTTCAGCCCCCCCATCCATCCTTCAGCCCCCATCCATCCTTCAGCCCCCCATCCATCCTGCAGCCTCCCATCTATCCTGCAGCCTCCCATCCATCCTGCAGCTCCCATCCATCCTGCAGCCCCCCATCCATCCTGCAGCCCCCCATCCATCCTTCAGCCCCCCATCCATCCTGCAGCTCCCATCCATCCTGCAGCCCCCCATCCATCCTTCAGCCCCCCATCCATCCTGCAGCTCCCATCCATCCTGCAGCCCCCCATCCATCCTGCAGCCCCCCCATCCATCCTGCAGCCCCCCATCCATCCTGCAGCCTCCCATCCATCCTGCAGCTCCCATCCATCCTGCAGCTCCTGCATGCCATCCTGTGGCCTGGCTGACCAAGTGAGGCCCTCAGCTCTCATCCTCTGTACCCGCCCTTCTTGTTCCCACCCCTGCTGTTCACTCAGATAAAGGAGGGCAGGGCTGCCAGGGAAAGCTGCACGCACAGGATTGGGAGGCCCTTCTGTCATAGCATGTGGGCTCCTTGTGCTCAGGAGTCACATACAAATGGCACACAGCTGGAGGGCAGACAGTTCTAGGGCCAAATCATTCTCACCTTGCCTGGGCTCTGTGGGACCTGTCAGGAAACCCACTTTCTTCTGCTGTGTGGCTTCCAGAGCTGTGGGCACCCCAACATGAGTTCAGCGACACTCTTGAACCAGGCTCAGAGAGTCATGGCCACTTTCCTGCTGGGGACTGAGCTTAGGTGATAGCCCAGGCCCATGGCCAGCTGGGACTCACCAGAGAGTTTGAGGTGTCACCCAGTGGCCAGATCTCCAGCAGGATAGGGACCTTGTAGACCCCCTCCTGGACACCTGGGGCACTGGCATCTTCAGTGCCACCAGGAGGAGTGCTCTAGTCCCCTGCACGCCTGTGTTTCCTGAAGATGCACTGGGGCACCAAGCCTCATGGTACTGGCCCAGCCTGGCTGTGCACCAAGGAGTTCAGCCCAGGGACTGTCACCGCACTTTCAGGGCCCTTGGGGCCCAGCCCATATCTCCTTAGTCCTGCCCTAGGGTGCTCTGTCCTAAGGCTTGAATAAGGTGGGATAGGTGTGCACAAGCAGTGGGGTGCAGGTGACAGGCCACAGCCGGCCACAATGGCTGAGGCAGCAGTCATTGCAGAGGCCCTCTGTGTACAGACCCTGCTCTACAAACAGCCTGGCCTGAAAGCTCTGGTCCTGATACGTGTTCCTGGATAGTGGGAGCAACCTCCCGTAGTGGGTCTCTGCGCTCTGGTTTAACTGGCAGGAGGCCAAGAGGACAGTTTCTCTGTGGGCAGTAAGGAGCTGTTTCCACTAGGTGGAGCCAGAGCACTTGCTTTTTGGCAGCCAGCATGTGGTGGCTGAGTGTCTTCTCCCCCCACCCCGCAGCACACACACTCTGAGGCTAGTAGGTTCCAAGTCCACTAGCCACAGCTCCTGGCTCTAGACTGCTAGGTTACTAGCTCTGTCTAGGCTACTAGGATACTAGCTCGGCTACTAGGCTATGTCGAGCCCAGATCCTCAAGGCAAGTGCCAGGCCCATCACAGGTGATGGGCCCGTTTGTGTCCTGGGAGCTTTTGCATGGTGGCTTCTGCAGCATGTGGGGATCCTCAGATGGTGGTCTGTATGGCAGCAAGTGGGGTGTCTGGCCCTTTTGGGGGTCCTGGGGCACTCCACTTGTCAGTTTTCCCAGCTTCTGGTGGCATTTGAACCCTAAGCTCCCCGCCTCCCTTGTGATGACACTGCCCAGGTACCTCAGGCTTCTGGGAGTGGCATTCTGTGGCTCTTAGTCCTGGTCCACCCCTCCCTAGTCCTGCCTCTCCACTGTGCCTCTCAGGACACCCTGAGGGGTCAACCGTGGGCCTGGCCCTCTGCTGATTCTCTGCAACTGGGACCTTCAAGATCTCAAGTCCTTGATAGGGAAATGCACCTGCTGCTAAGGCTGACAACTTGAGTTCCATCCCTGGGTCACACATGGCGGAAGGAGACAACTGACTCCTACAGGTTGTCCTTTGACCACCACACATGTGTTTGGACAGTCCTGCCTACCTGCTGTGTCCTGGCCCTGCCTCCTGCCTTTATTCTGTGTGCTGCTGGCCATGTTGCTCTGTGCCCTTTCCAGCAGCACCTTGTGTGAGTTTGTAGTGCCCCCTTGATGAAGTACAGCCCTCAGGTCCCATGCCCATCACAGTTGCCTGCACAGGACCCTGGTGACAACCGGGCTCTGCTGGCTGTGCAAGAGATGGGTAGCAGGGGGGACCTGCCCCAGTCCAGGTGGATGCGGTCCCTGGGAAGGAGAACTGTGTGAGAGCTAGGTGGTGAGTGCAGGCACCCTCATTACACCAGGGTGGGGGGCAGGGCTCAGCAGTAAGACATGGAACTGTGCTGTCCTGTCATCCAGAAGACACACCGTGCTCCCCCATTGAATGTGGCCTGTTAAGCAGCCAAGGTGGATGGAGCCCAGGGCTGGACTCAGCTGGTGGTTGCTGTGCCCGCCCATGCTCCTCCCACCTGCTCAGAACACCAAGGCCACTGATTTCTAGGCTGTGAGTTCCCCAGGGCCATGATGTTCCTTTTGTACCATCTCCCCTAGCTCTCATCTCTGCATGTAGGGAGGGGTGGCGCGTGGGCATTTGGGTCCTGGGCTCAGCAATTGATGTGGTGCTGGTGGGGACAGTGATGGCCCTGAGACCTGGGGGTAAGTCAGATTTCCAGCAGGATAGCTCCGCTCCTAATCTGTGGCTGGTACCCTGGAGGACAGTGTCTGACAGCTCTTAGTAAACCATGTCCTGCCACATGGCACTGTGGCTGGGAGGGCTATGTCCAGTACAGCCCAGGGCTCCCAGGTGTCAGGTACAGCCCAGGGCTCCCAGTTGTTCAATGTAGCCCCAGGGTTCCCCTTTGTTTAGTGCAGCTCCAGGGCACCCAGGTTCCGGTAGAGCCCCAGGGTTCCCAGGTGCCCAGTACAGTCCCAGGGCTTCTAGGTGATACAGCCTCATTCCTCTCCAAAGCCCATCAAGGAGGTGGCCTTTGGGTACCTGGCCACCAACCCTGGCCCAGATTTTTTTCTGTGTCCATCAAGCCCTGCACTCCATTTTTTGGTATGTGCTGCCACCTGGTGGCCACCCTGGAAAGTGTGGGAGCTGTGGAGGACAATCTCCAAGAGGAGGGGCCTGTGACAACCCTTCCTGGCAGAGAAGTTTCCTTTACAAGGGGCAGAAAGACCAGCTGTGCTGTCTCCCCACAGTGTAGATGCTTCCAGCATCTGTGACCCCTTCCGTGCAGACACACAGGCGGGTCAGTGCTGACTGTGGCTTGAGCAGACTCAGGTGTGTTGGCTTTGCCTTCCTGATCCAGGCTGATGGCTTCCAGGCTTCGAACAGCTGTACACAACCAGCCCAGGATGACCCCATGTGCACAGGGCTCCTGGTGGATTCAGTGAACACAAGGCCACAAGGTCCACATGGGAAGAAGGTCCCTGCTGAGAATATTGCTAGGTTTTGGTTAGAAGGCATACAGCTTTTGGGACCTCGTCAGCTTTGAAGTGTGGGTACCTGTATGTTTAGTCAGCTGGTATCATTTTGGCCCTCAGATGTTGGAAGTGATGGAGTTTCGGGTTTGCTGGCATGCCCGGGCTGCCCACTGTTGCCCTCCTGCAGCTAGGGGTGCTTTTGTCGCCTCTGAAGGTAAATGTCACAGTGGTGATGGCAGGGCTGCACTGACCACTCTTGTTCTCTCATAGGTGAGGCTCTGCATCACTGCAGCCATGGGGTCCGAGGACCACAGTGCCCAGAACCCCAGCTGCAAAATCATGACCTTCCGCCCCACCATGGACGAGTTCAGAGACTTCAACAGATATGTGGCCTACATCGAGTCACAAGGTGCACACCGCGCAGGTCTAGCCAAGGTGGGTCATGCCACTCCAAGGCTGCTTTGTGCCTAGATGCCATGTCACCTAACCCTTTTTTAAATCTACAGAGGCACCCGGTTCAGTGGGGGTGCCTGAACCAAATCAGGGCACTCGTGTCCCTAACCCTGGAGAGAACCTAGCCTGGGTGGGACACAGAGCCTGCTGCTGTGAGGGACAGGACTATGCTAGGCCTAACATGGAAGGGGACCTAGGATGTAAGGGAACCCAATGCCTGGGGGCAGTGGTATCAGGAGACACCTTTAGTTCCTGATTAAGTGGCAGTGCAAGAAATGGGCATAAGAGTCGTGTGTGTGTGTGTGTGTGTGTGTGTGTGTGTGTGTGTGTGTACATGTGTTCTTGTCTCTGTCTGTGTGTAGCTGAGCAGTGGTGGCATACACCTTTAATCTCAGCACTTAGGAGACAGAGGTGAGTTTGAATCCAGCCTTGTCTACACAGAGAGTTCCAGAGCAGCCAGGGCTATACAGAGAAACCCTGTCTTGAAAAATCAGAGAGAAAGAGACAGGTTGTGGCGGGGGGGGGGGGGGGGGATGATTTAGTGTGTGCACTCGCCTGTGTATATGTGTCTGTAAGAACTAGTGTGTGTGCATGTCTGTACTGGGGGCTCTGCTACCTGCACAGCTGTCCCTACCACCTCTGCAGGATCTGGGCCTTAGGAGCTGTGAGGGTGCTTGCTACAGGCAGTGAGAGACAGACTTCACCCAAGGGTGGGGAGTGCTCTGAGTTCGTGCCTTTCACCTCCCCTTGAGGAGGGCTGGGACAGTTCTGACTCTGCCCATCTTTGGGGTGATAGTACCACCTTCCTGCCTCCACCTGGCCTCTCTAAGTATCCTATCTGCCCTAGCTTATGTGTGGAATTACTGACTTCCAGTATCTGCTCCCTGTCTTCTTGGGGCCCCGGACGCTGCTTCTGACTTGGTCTTGGGCACTCCCTTGCAGCACACTGTCATGTGCCCACTGAGCAGGACCGAGGAGGCCCCAGCCCTGCTTGCTGTCTCCTGCAGCCAGGGGCACCCATGGCACCCATGGCAGCAGTGACCAAGAACAGGCTCATGTGTAAGATTGTCTCAAAGTGGGACCCCTGCTGACCCAGCCCTCCAGTGTATTGGCTCAGTTTATAACTACACACACTATGCCCGGCTTAGTACTGACTTATGGCCCAGGTCTTCCCCCCGCCCCAGTCTGCTACAGTGGGGCCCAACTACCACCTCAGCTGTCATGGTTGTCATGGTTGTGTGGTGTCATATGCCTGTGCGTGGCAGCACTGGTCTAGGGCACTTAGATCTTTGGGGACCTGGGATTCCCTACCCTTGGGAGCTGCATCACCCACACCCTTCTTGGCCCTACAGATCATCCCACCCAAGGAATGGAAGCCACGGCAGACGTATGACGACATTGATGATGTAGTCATCCCAGCACCTATACAGCAGGTGGTGACGGGCCAGTCGGGGCTTTTCACACAGTATAACATCCAGAAGAAGGCCATGACCGTGGGCGAATACCGCCGCCTGGCCAACAGTGAGAAGTATGTAGGCTCGAGCCGTCTTCCGGCTGCTCAGGCTCCCCACTTCCCGGAGTTCCAGACTGGGCTGTAGGGCTCCTCAGCCTACCCCTGCCGCTGCCGCCGTCTCCAGGGGCTGCCCTCATCCCAGTGTGGCCAGAAGGTGGCCTTCCAATGGTGTTCCCCCATGCTTTGTGCTTCTGTGCATCTTGAGACCTGCAGTCATAGCATATGCAGACACGTGGTCCCTGTGTTCTGTGCTCCAGCTGCCCCTGGCTCCCAAAGCTCTGTGCCCCTCCTTACCAATAGAAGTCTTGATTCTGGGGTTGGGTTCTGAGGTTGCTAGAGGGTGTTGTACTGCCCAGAGCCCAATCCGAGCTATGTGTTGTCCGTAGGTACTGCACTCCACGCCATCAGGACTTTGACGACCTGGAACGAAAATACTGGAAGAACTTGACCTTTGTCTCACCCATCTATGGGGCCGACATCAGTGGCTCACTATATGATGAAGTAAGTGTCCATGAGTGTCCCTCATGGGTCTGGCCACTGTTGTGGTCTCTGGGGATGGGAGGAGAGTGTCTGTGCCTCACTGTTCAGGACTACCCTGGCTGCAGTGGCTCCCAAAACCTCCACGTTCCTGAACACTACTTGGCAGGATTGTGCTGGCTTCTGACCCAGGGTGGCATCCTGGACAGGAGACCACAGCCTGGATTAGTCTCTGTGATGGTGCGGGCTGCTTGTGCTCTGCCTCTTGTGACTTCTGTGCCTGTTACCTTGAGGTCTTGGCCACCTCAGTGGGTGCTGCTGATGTGTGGTGTGGTAACCCATGGCTTGGAGCTATGGCAGGATCCCAGTCTGGTGGTGGCTCCTACCACCTTCACCTGTAGCCTCGCTGCCTGGGCTCAGTTGTCAAACTCAGGAAGAAGGGCCAGCTCAGGAACCCCCGGGCAGAGCCACATTGGTGCTGGCACCTTACTACATGCTTCTGGAAAGTTCTGTTGGTTGCCAATTTGTGTGTGTGTGCATGCACACATAGGAAGCCTGTGGATAATTTCAAATGTCTTCCTTAGACCCTGGCCCTATCTATCTTGCTTTTGTGGGGGACAGGATCTCACTGTGTAGACCAAACTGACCTCATCCTCAAGGAAATATGCCTGCCTCTGTACCATGAGTGTTTGGGTTACCTAGTCTACCTTGTTTTTTATTGTTGGTTTTTATTTTATTTTACTTTATTTTATTTTATTTTATTTTTTCAGGACATGGTTTCTCTGTATAACAGCCCTCACTGTCCTGGAACTCACTCTATAGGCCATGCTGGCTTCGAACTCACAGAGATCCTCCTGCCTTTGCCCCCTGTATTGTTGGGTTTTTAATTTTTAGTCACTTTTTAATTCTGTGTGAGTGTTTTGCCTACAGGTATATTTGATCCTTTTCAACTGGAGTACAGCTGGTGTGAGCCTCCATGTGGGTTCTAGGAACTGAATCTGGGTCCTCTAGAGGCACTGAGCTATCTCTCCAGCTCCTCGCCCTGCATTGTTTTCTGGGATAGGGACTCACTGAACCTGGAGCTCACACACTGGGCCAGCAGGCCATGGTGCACTCCCCTGTCCAGAGCTGGGATTGCGGGTGTGCACTATGGTACCCAGCTTTATGTATGGTGCTGGAGGCCAGTCTCAAGCTCTTCCACTGCGCTGTCTCCTCAGGGTTGCTTGTTGTTGTTGTTTCGAGTTGTGTGTGGTGTGAGTGTAGGCGTCTGTTCTTGTGTGTGCATGCGTGCAGGCACTTGTGTGTCTGGCCCCTCTGAACTCAAGTCACCAGGCTTGGTGCAGCACCTTCATGCCGAGTCCTTTCAGTGGTTATGATTGTTCCTAAAAGCAGCCTGGCTTTGTACAGCCGGCATGCCATGCACTACAGCAGGTAAAAGCCCAGAGTTCAGTGGGCTCCCATGCACCCATGGTGCTGTAGAGTCCTTGCCTACCATCTCAGAGAAAGACCTAGCCCCACCAACAGCCACCCCATCCTTCCTGACTGACACCCAAGAATACACTTTCTGTCTGGACATGTTCTATTTTCAGTGCCCCACATTGTGGCCCCTCATGTCTGATTCTCAGTGTCCTCAGGGTCCCTGCACACTGGGGTATGAGGGCCCACGCAGCATGCCTCTGTCTATTAGGTGATAGACATGTGACCTGTGACCTGCTTGGGCTCCAGGACGAGAGGCAGCTGTGGGTGCTGTCCAGGTCCCTGTGACCAGGGCTTTGTTTCTCTGAAGTCCACATCCAGGGTGGACCTGCTGGACTTGGCTGCTCTCCAGCTGCTGCTCATCCCTCTGGCTCCTGGCACTCTGGGTGTGAGAGGCTGCCACATCTGTCCTCCGGCTTGACACCCTGCAGTCCTCAGCCTGTGATGCCAGGCGCTCCCTGCCTCCAGTGTTGTTCCTTTCCACAATGTCTCAGGACTGGGATCATGACCCAGCCTTTCCCATGACTTCTGTCCTGCAGCCATGGGGGATTAGGGCTCATCCGCATTGAATGTTTATTTCTTTCAACTGTATGTGCTCACCTGTGGATACGGCTCTTTCTGCTAATGGCTGAGGTGAAAGCTGTCTCACAAGTCCTTCTGAAGATGGCTTTTTCCTCCCATCCTGAGCCAGGGTCTCATGGAGCCCAGGTTGGATTTGAACTTGCTGAGGATGAGCTTGAACTCCTGACTCTCCTGTTCTACCTCCTGAGTGCCAGCATGCTGGGGGGCCCATTCATATTGTCCAGCAGTGCACCCTGGGTGGGCAAAGCCTCTGCACTCAGATGGGAGTGAGGGTATCTCTTAGTGGTTTGATCTGCTTTACCCTCTGCAGGTCCAGAGCAACCTTACAGGTTGCAGTAAGTCTTGGGTCAGTGGCCGTGTATTCTCTTGGTTTTGGGATCCCTGTCCTCTAGTAGGTGTCATGTGCTGTCACCTTATTGTTTTGTCATCTGTGCTCACAAGATAGTACTGCGTGAAATCACTCTGGGCTTCTCCCAGCAAGATGTCCCAGGCATGCCCCTGCACCCCACCACCTGTCAGCTAGTGTGCCCACTTTAAAGAGGACTGTGCCACACCACAGGCCCCTGGAAGCTTGTGGCTTTGAGACCTGTGTGTCTGCCTCACCTAAAGTAGTCCAGAATCTGTTCTAAATGGGGAAACTGAGGCCCAGAGCAGACGACTTTTGACCAAGCCATGGGACGAGTCTCCCCATGAGGTTGTACCTGGGTTCCTTTCTTGTAGCCCATGACGTGTTCCATGGCAGGGCAGCAAGGCTATTGTATGCTTGATGGCAGCAGCCTTCGCCCTCCAGACTTGGGCCTTCAACCTCCTGGCAGGAATCGGTCACCTCCAGGGTCACCGTGTGGAGATGCTGAGATGCACCCTGGTGGCTCTGGGATGAGGAGAAGTCTTAGGTATAGGCATGTGAGGTTCCTGTCTGCCTTTGCTCCAGCTAGTAATGTTTGAGAACGTGGGTTGTGGTTGGGGCTTCGTCCATATTTGCCTGCATCCTTTGAAGCTGTCTGGTCTTGTGTGATGGAAGGTTCTAGAAGGGCTGTCATTTGGGCATGGGATCACATACCTGTGAAGGGATCCCTCCACTTGGAAACTGCCTTTCTTCTTCTGTGTTACTTAGAGGTATGGAGGTCACTACCAAGCTGTAGTTGTTGCTTGGCACATGCTGGCTTATAGACTGTTACCCTGAACCTGAGCAGCTCTAGTGTGCCTGTGATCCTAGTACCTTTGACCTTTTGAGATGGCCACCTGGAGCCTGAGGACCTGATGCTGACATACCTCAGTAGCCCTGTTCTACTCTGGGTGACTGCAGCCAGGGTGCAGGTGAGCACAGATGTCCTGGGCGGACTCTGCTGACCATACACTTGCTGTCCACAGGATGTGGCTCAGTGGAACATCGGAAACCTGAGGACCATCCTGGATATGGTGGAGCGTGAGTGTGGCACCATCATCGAGGGAGTGAACACACCCTACCTGTACTTCGGCATGTGGAAGACCACTTTTGCCTGGCATACAGAAGACATGGACCTATACAGCATCAACTACCTGCACTTTGGCGAGCCTAAGTCCTGGTGAGTGCCAGGGTGTGAGGCAAGGGGGGGATCTGGCCACTGCTGACAGGTTACTGTGGAGTGCCTCCTGTTCACACTTCAGGCTTTGGGGAGATGAGCTGGTCCAGGACCATGGCCTTGATGGTATCAGGTAACCACCTGCAGTCCTGTTGTTCTAGGCAGTGAACTGAGGGCTGTGATCTTGCCTGAGCCTCTGCGGGGCCGATGGCTGTCACCTGCTAGCCACATTACAGGGGCTAGTTTCTGCTGGGCCTGGAGTCTGTGTGAGGTTCCAGCCGGGCTCTCTCTCCATCTCCCTTTGCTGGCTGCCTGGCAGAGCCCTGTCTCCTCTTGGGTCAGCTTCCTTGTCACACAGTGTGGACAGGAAGGTGCTGAGTGGGGAGGACAATGCTTAGGACTGGGCAGGTCCCAGTAGCTGGTTGTCCTGCTGCCATTTCCGTCTCTGTGGTAAGGCACCCTGCTTAGGGAGCATGGGTTTGTTTCTGCTCATGTTGCAGCCCATGGTCAGTCACTTAGGGAATTGGAGCCACGCCTGTGTGGAGCATGCTCAGCTGCTTCCTCCGCTCTCACATGGGGCACTGGGCACTGTCACCATGTTCAGCTCCATTTCGCCATGCTTATGAACACTTAGGTCCCTGGGACATGTGCCTCTGAGGCTACCCTGACTCACACATCCCTGCTGAGATTCTCTTTCTGGTGGTTTTAACATCTGTTAACTTGACAACTAGCCATCACCCTCGGCCTCTGCTTCAGTGTGGAGGCGCCTTCACCCACCCAGGCAGGTGCAGGGGGCCCCATTGTTCTCTTTAAGTGCTTTGTGTCTGGGGCACGTGTGTGGCTCCTGTAGTCTCCCTACAGTCTGAGGTGGTGGCTTGGGTCTTCCTAGTCAGGGCTGCTGCCTCCTGAACACTGGGACTTTGGTGCTCCTTTGTCACTCCCTGTGGCCACACAGTATGGCCCTTCTGTCCTCTACTGTCCAACACCTCCTTGCTGCCACAAGTGTGACAGGAAGACCTTGCCTGCAACAGGCCTCCCCTGTATCGCTCAGCTGTGGACAGGGCTGTGTGCTGAGCCTGTGGAGGGTCACGCACAACAGTGCCCTCTCTGTGGGTGTCTCTGCCCTCAAACTCCAAGCTTCCACCTCACTCCAGTTGAGTCCATGCTTGGGCCTGGGCAGCTCTCCTGCACTGGAGGACATGGCTGTGTTGCTATGTGTGCCTCCCATGTGGACCCTGCAGCCAACCGTCAGCCTACAGCCAGGCTAGCTTCCTGACTGATGCCTGATCTGGACTGGACTCAGGCTGGATGGGAGAGTGGACCCCAAAAACTGACCCCTCGAGCCTCATGGGTCCCAGCACTGCCCCTCACAGTTCCAGAAGTGAGAAATCCATCAAGTGTTGTGTCTGCTTCTTCCTTGTTCCCTGGACCTTAGGAAGCTCTGCCCTCTGCTGTCCCAGTATCAGGGGCCCTGTGTTCCCTGAAAGTGGGACCCTTTCTCCCCCTTCTGAGCTGGCCATGAGGCCTCTGCCTCTGATCATCCTGCTGCCCTCTGAGGACTATTTGGTGACACTGGTGACCCAGGACAGCCCCTGTGCACAGGAAAGGTTGGGGTGCATGGGCAGCACTCTGCCAGCCATGGCTTTCAGCTGCTTTTCATTTGCAACAAAATCCTCTGACAAAAGTAACTAGCAAGAGGAAGGGTTTGCCTTGGCTCCACCATCATGCAGGGAAGGTGCTGAGGCAGTTGGTCACATGACAAGAAGGGAACCGGATTAATGCTGGTGCAGTTCCTTCTCTCCTTTTTGTATGTGGTCAAGGATCCCAGCCCAGGGCATGAACAAGTCTTGTCTCCTGGAGGCCTGTCCCCCACACTTCTGTCCATTTGACAGTTAACACTGACCAGTACACTGTCCCTGTGGGCTCCTGCTGGGGTGTCTGAGCTGTGCACACCACCCATTTCTGTAAGTTCACTCACAAGGTCCCTGTCTGTGGATGCGTGGTGTAATAGTGTCAGGCTGGATGGTATCTCATGAGCAGCCTAGACTATGTCCTTAACCCCGGCCTCTTGTGGCACCACCCTCTATGTATACCTGTCAGCCAGGTGACTCCTCTCATGTGCTCTGCTATCACCTGTGTGGAGGGCAGCTGGGTTGCTACCTGGGTCCCTGGGATCCCTTGAGAAATGATGTGGCAGCAACAGGGGCCAGTGGCCTGTTCCCCATGGCTGCATTGTCCTACAGGGCTAGATACAGACATCCCACAGCTGTTCCTGCTGCAAATCCCCACTTGTGCACAGCATGAGCAGGTGTGTGTGGGTATGCTTGTGTGTGGGTGTAACTGGAACCAGAGTGTAACCAGGACCAGCTGGCTCTGGAGGCCAGGGCCTGACTCCTGCTCCTGGTGGCCACTAGGTGGCACTCCCGCCCTTCTAACAGGCAGCCATTCCCTGGCACCCCTACCCTAGCTACTCTGAGAACATAACCAGGCTCCCTGGCTGCCTGCTTTGTTTGGGGAAGGGAGACAACTCCACTTTCTTCCTCAGAAAATAAGAGTAAAGAACAAGAGCTGCAGGCCAGCCTGGGCTGCATGTTGAGGCTACAGCTCAACTAAGCAGAAAGAGGAAGAGAGAGCAAGCAAACAGGTCACTCCCCTCCACCCCTGCTTAACTTCAGAGAGACCCATGAGCTTCCAGGAGCCATCAGAGTGGCCAGTGAAGCAGGTGCCAGCCCTAGAGAGACAGGCTGGTGGGCCAGCTGTGGACCTGTGTGGTACTAGAATGTTTCTAGTGTTGGGAAGCACCTTGGTAAGGACAATGAGAGCCATGCTGTCTGAGGGTGGTGCCAGGCTGTGTGTGGCCACATGGCCCTGCAGCTTGTAAGGCCTGGGGATCCCGGAAGAGTGATGGCACAAATCCCCACAGTGGCCACTTGTTTAGGGAAAGTTCCAGCAGCCTTGGCCTTGGTGAGCGGGGCCCAGTAGCCCATAAACAGGGGTCTCCCATTATGAGCGCCCTGTCACCCCTTCCATGGCTCTCCATTGTTGCTAGATAGACCCATGATCCAAACAGCTTGGGGGAGGAGGCTGATTGGGCTTTTATGTTCTAATGGCACTCTGCCATGGTGGGAAGTTGGGACAGGATTTGATGCCGAGGCCAAGGAGGGTGCTATTTACTGGTTTGCTCCCCATGGCTTGCTCAGCCTGCTTTCTTATGGAACCCAGGACCAGCAGCCCAGGGGCAACTCCCCCCACCCCCACTGAGCTGACCGTTTCACATTGATCATAATTAGAACACTGCCCCACAGGCCAGTCTGATTAAATGTTTTCTCAATGAGACTGGCTCTTACAGGGCACTCTAGATCTGTCACATTGACAGCTGACCATGACAGGATGGGACCCATGTGTCCTTGGGTACACACAGAGCACGTGTGTGTTTAACTTGGGTTCTCTCCACTAGGTTCTGAACCCCAGAAAGGTAGACTTCAGCTATACCTGTGTACCCAGCTCCAGCAGGGATCTCAAAGAGATCTACATTACCTGGGTTCCTGATACACTACTGGAGTTAATACATTCTCCCTCTCAGACATGTGGCTGCTACTTCCTGGATGCAGCTTAAAAGTAGTGGTAGTGCACACCTTTAATCTCAGCACTCAGGAGGCAGAGGCAAACGGATCTCTGGAAGTTCAAGGCCGGCCTTGTCTACCAAGTGAGTTCTAAGACAGCCAGAACTGTCACACAGAGAAACCCTGTCTTGAAAAACCAAACTAAACCAAACCAAACCCCAAAACTGGGGAGTCTCCACTGCTGAGCCCTTCGGCCTCCCTCTGTTGTATGACAAGAAAGACTTTTCCTGGGGACATGCAACACACAGATCTTTCATCCCAGGTAGGGACCCCATAGCAGACTAAAGTATGGACAACACAAAGTCCTACTTGGTGAACTGTGATTTTTACTAGGGTCACTGACAGGCATATGGGTGAGGGGAGGCAACTGTGTCACTAAGGCCCACCCCAGAATTGGCTGACAGACAGCTCACAGAGCTGGAACTTGGAGTGCACAGCACAGCCTGCAGGCCACATAACAGGCTGGAGAGCATCCCTTCCAGTTGCCCCAACTGGTCTGACTTCTTCCAGGCAGCTCAATTTCCTGAGGGGACCCTCGGCTTTTATTGCTCACTCTGGCTAGGAGGAGCCTAGTAAAACTGGTTGGTTTCAGGGACTTCCTGTAGCTATTTTGTTCACTTTCCTGTTTAAAGAGCCTCCCTTCAGGATGCTTCAATACCCCCCTCCCCCCAGCAGAGCCTCTAGTGTAGTCTGTGTCTGCTTTGCTTCAGCACCATGCTGGGTTTGAGTGCCTGAAGATATTTGCAGGTCCCAGCATTTTATGAAGCTTCTCTGGGTCTGTTACTGCTTTGGCTGATGTGATTAGGGTCAAAGGACTTTGACAGGGTGTATGTTCCCTTGTGCAGTCAGAATAGAAAACCCCAGACTCTGTTCAATCCCCCAGAACCTGTCACAGCAGTTAGAGGTGGCACTGGGAGGTGGGGTGGTACTGGGATCTCTGGAGGAATAGTCACATATGTGCGGTGGCAGTGTGGCCTCTGAGGACAGTGCCTTGCATGGGATGGGAGGAGCCTGTACTTGCAGGGCTCCTGGTGGCACCTCCCCCTCCTCCTTACATAATCTATGGACACTGGGTAGTCAGACCCTGGGTCCTAGCTTAAGGAAGGTGACTTGCATCACCACCCAAAGCCCCAAGGGACAGCTGGACCTGTTGGGGACCTACCCTGGTCTGGATCTACACCAGCCAGTGCCTTGCAGCCCCCATCCTCAGGAACCAAAGATGGTCCCTGTGCCTAGTTCATCCTAGGTTCGGCCCTCTGCAGTGGTCAGCTGGGCCACTGGGTTCCTCTGATGGCTGAGCTAGTAGGAGGCAGCTCGGCTTGCAATGGTTGTTTCTCATCTGGATTGCATCACGTGACCCCTCCCTCGTCCTGTTTCCGC